AAAAAAAAATTAATTTATCTTCTGTTTATATTATGCTTTTATTCAATAGGGACAGCTATGAATGAACATATTGTTTTATTTGAGCTCATTATTTTTTTGGGAGCATTTAATGCATGCCACAAATATCTAAAGTTTTATTTTTACATTTTGAGCACTCAAATTATTGATATCACATAAAAATATATTTTTATTATTTACTTTAAAAAGTAATACACCTTTACAATCATAGGTAAAATACTATAAATTTAAAAATTAAATTTCAGTTGTTAGAAATGTAAATACATAAAAACTATTGATATAAATGTAAAAATTAAAATTTAGTTGTTATATATTGTATAATCATAAAGTTAATATTCGTGTCATCATTGATCGGACGGTTCATGTTATTATGTATCCAACAACTCAAAGCTTATCACTTGTCAGAAACTATCCTGAAGAAGGAACCAAGCCAAGGTCGAGTGATTAAGGTCGAATGCCTGAAGTTGAGTGATCAAGGTTAAGTTCCTAAGGCTGAGTCATCAAGGTCGAGTGCTAGAGGGTGAGTGACCAAGGTCGAATGCCCGAGGCTGAGTGTCTGCGGTTAACTATCCGAAGCCGAGTGATCGAAGCAAAGTGATGTTTCCTCTGCATCCTAGCGAATCAATCACAAGTTGACTTTCAGCACATTAAAGTCCTAAGTCTAGGAATCTATGGTGGGATAGGCCCAAACTCAACTTTTTATCATAATCTTGGTCATCATAAAAAGAAGAAATTAAATGTAATTAGTCACTGAAAGTATCAGTTTTGTAAAGAAGATCTTCAATACAAGCATTTCATTTCCAATCAAGCTCTCCCTCTCCCTCTCCCTCTCCCTCTCCCTCTCCCTCCTCTCATCTATTTTGCTAATTCCTAAAAAGCATGTTGGTTTTTTTTTTTAAATAAAAGACAAGATGGAATTTAAATTTTTAATTTTTTAAATAATCAAACATGATAGCAAAAGTAATATACCATTTCGAAAGATAAAAATATCACTTTGCAATGAGTTCACTTATTTAAATAAAGAAATATTGGATATTTTCATGGTCTGCATTTTGGCCAACATATCTTTTCCCTACTTAATCCAAAGATTAAATATAGTTTAGATTAATGTGGGTTACTAACTTCTTATAACAATAAACCCCTATAGTTAATTACATCTTAGGAAACAAAATATCTTAAGAAAACTTTCAATTAGGTTTGTGATTTTGTATTTAAGAAATTTCTATGTTTAAGTTTCTATGATTGATTGTTACGAATATCAAATGAGAAAGTTCAAAAGTGGAATAATTATTCATAGAACCTAATAGAGAAAAAGTAGGAGATATTGAAGCTACTGAGAAACTCAACAACAACTAAATTATCCTATTATTTGACTTTATTAATTTTGAAAAAGATTTATTTAATGTTTCAATAGACAATTTGTTAGAATGTTAAGACTTATATCACATGATTTATGATCGTGCAAAAGCTTAAGAGGTGAGTATTTTTGTCGTAACTAGAAGAAAAATCTCAGAATCCTCACACTAAAGGCGAGCTCCACCGAAAGAAGCAACGCCTCCAAACCTAATCTAAAGGGAGAGAAAAATACAACAAATAAACAGAAAAATGGACTTACAACACTATCTGGAACGGGTTGCCGTCTAAATCACCTAACCATAGTAAAATCATGCATGATCGGTCTCATTAAATGAGTGATATGATAGTCTGTTATTTATTAGGGAAGTAGGTCTTATAACTTGATTATAGAAATCAAGATGCCTAAGTATGAGTGGCACACAAAAATGTCCAAAGACTCATGCGAATTTATTTTTGTAATTTAAAATTTTAAAGTTTTTATATCTCATCGCACTCAAATGTTTTATTATACTTTTTAACTCTTATTTTATAGTGATAAAATAAGTTGTGTATAGGTATGCATGTCCCTCATGTTGAATGGTTAGAATTTTTATTATTTAGAAGACCAGTCAGTATGCTGAGGCTGACTCGCTCTATAAAGTAGTCATCCTCAAAAGATAAATCATCTCTTTTCGTGCAATGAGTGAGGGTCTGAAGTTAAGGAATATAACCAATATGTATAAAGTGGTGATCCTCAAAAGATAAATCATCTCTTTTCGTGCAATGAGTGAGGGCCTGAAGTTAAGGAATATAACCAATATGACTACATATATCTAAAATGATCTTTTTTGTGGATGTTTCTAAATCGAAAAGAAATTTACACTCGTTTTTATTTGATTGCAAGGTTATTGTTTTAAATGCATAATGTTCTAAGGTGTAAATGCAATGTTTTATTTATTTTAGTTTTGTTTATGAATTTCTTAATTTTAAAAAAAATTAGTTAAAATTATTTAATTTGGGTAGAAAATTAAGTCCTTAATAAGCTACCAATACAACGACCTGAAATTTGGGCAGACCCATCGAGCACAAACACAACAAAAAAATAGAACAACAAAAGAGTAATCAATACTTGACCTACTACAAACTCATCAGTCAACTATGTCATCTGAATATTATTGATGATCTAGTTGAAGTTAATCCTTGATGTTTTTCCTTTAGTTTGTTCAATCTCTTTCGGGTAGTTCGAATGCCAGTAATTGACTAACTATGATAGACATCCTAACTCTAAAAAATATATTATGCAACAAAGTAAACGTATGTTTACAACAGTAGCCTTGATTTGCTACAATGCTATGCAAAATAGAGTTTGCATGCTTCAAGCTTACTGTAGCCTCTACAAAACAAACTTAACAAATTATAGCATGTAATGAAAATTCATAGCTCATAAAAAAACTATATGATCATCTTAAGCATCCAGTCTTGAGAGGAAAGCCTATCATAACCAAATATTTCAAACGAGCAAACAATACAAACACGACAAAACACAACGACCACACCTTGACCTAATCTTAAAACTATGGTCAGTGTCATAAAGGGATTCTAAAGATAGTGAGAGCAAAAAGTGAGGGGAGCTAGACTAGGCTTTATTGTTCAAATTGCAAATTTTTATTATTTTTGTTCAAGTTTACCAAATGAAAACTTCATTTTAAATTTTTATGCTTTTTGTTTTTTTTAAAAATTCTTATGGATTTTATTTTATTATTTGGTTAAATGCCTTATATATGCAAATCACACACACACACACACACACACACACACATTTTGTGAATTTTTATGATTTAAAATGGTTTCATTTTTAAAATTTTAAATGTTTTGTATATTTTGACTTAAATGTTCTCAAATTAACTTTACATTATATCTATAGGTTGTTATTGAGTTCAAAAGTGTTCTTGAAAAAGATTTTATGATTTTTTAAAGTTTTATTGATTTATTTGAATTTTATGAATTTTAATGATTTTTTTGGTTAAAAATTCATAATAACACCAGAAGACCTCTAAAAATCTTGAAATTTTATAGAAATGTTTGGAATGAAATTCTAAACAATATATAAAATTGTAATAGAAAACAGGATAAAAGATTTTTGAGGATGTTTTATTTTTATTTGGAAATATATTTAATGATTGTTTTATGCACTTAACAAAAGGTTTTACAAATATGTGAAGAGACTGATCTAGTATTGAATTAGGAGAAATGTTAACATATGGTTTTATGAAGGGATTGTACTTGAGCATAAGTTATCAAAGAAAGAGATGGATATAGATCAAGCTACGATAAAAGTTATAAAAAAAACTACATCTACTCACATCTCTTAGAGGGATTAAGACTTTTTTTAGGCACAAGAGATTCTATTGTAAATTTATTCAAGGT